AACATGTTAGAAACATGCTAGTAACATGCTAATCATGCTAGAATCATGCTAGCAATATGCTAGTAAACGTGCTAATAATGCTAACAAAATGGTAACACCATGCTAGTAACATGCTAGTCATGCTAGAATCATGCTAGTAACATGCTAATCATGTTTACAAAATGCTAGTAACTTGCTAATCATGCTAACAACATGCTAGTAACATGTTAATCATGCTAGAAACATACTTGTAATTTGCTAATCATGTTAACAAAATGGTACCACCATGCTAGTAACATGTTAATAATGCTAATGCTAAAAGTTTTAGCTTGCTTCTATAAGTCTTTGAGCTCTTTTAATCAAACCTCATGTTTCACAGGACTATCCGGACTATCCGAGTTCTCCACATTGCAACTGCATAAAAATATATTTGTTTACACATCATGCACTTTGGTAAAAGTGTTCTGTGGTCATAACATAGTGTTGTGCAAGGAACCACACAGAAATATAACTTTATTGGTCAATAATCTGCTCCATAGTCATAATTTATGTGGCGTTTTACTGCCACTAGTATTAATTTCAGCTGGAAACTACAATGTTTGTACAGGTAGGTTCTTGGAGTTTTTCCAATGAGCCTATGTTGAATTTTTTTTTCTCTTTTAAGTCCTGTAATACAAGTAAGACAAGTACATCCTCCAATAAGGTACAAATTTGAGAAGTCTTTCATTCCTGTTGCACAAATGATGTATCACAACATACACAGCAAGTTGCATGCAGAAACTTTGAGTAGTGATGATAATGATGCTTGCTTTTGCAAGATAGATAGATTGAGGAACACATGTTAGATTGTTTCTTTGGTGATCTGATTAGATATTCATCCCCTCCCGCCTCTCATTCTCTGTAATGATCTGTAGCAAAATGCAATCAGATGGCTTTCTAATCCCTGTTTTGTGAAAGGCCCGTATGGGTTACGAGGTCAAGGTTCGGGTTACGAGGTCAAGGTTCAGCTGCGAGGGGTTGAACTCCACTAATTGTTTCCCTTGAATGATGTCTACATCTCTTTCAAACTGCTTTCATTGAGTCACGTTTTGAATTTGGTGCTTTGACTAACTTTACAAAGACTAAATTACAGATGGCGTGAATGAAGCGGCAGATACTTAAAATGTAAAAAAAAAAGGCCTCCAGACAGGGATGTCACATCATAGCTTTAACAGAAGGGGAACTCCACATCCTTGGGCCAAAGTCTTTCTAGAGCCACATAAACGACAGACAGCACATCTGGCTGTCAACGTGCGTTCCTTTCAGCTGAATGTGGGTTTGCTTTTACTGGGTGGTGGAACAAATGTAAAAGCATTTGCAATTTTAACACTGGTGGTGCTGCTGCATCCTGCGTTATAATCTGCATGCACAAGACTCCTTGAACGAAGGATTGTTTTTTTTTTTGACCTTGAGTCCGTTGGCATGACGTGCCGGAAGGGTCTCCAGATTTAATCAAGCTTTTAACCCTGTGCCCTGTGCATTAAGTGTAGTTAAGGTAGAGAATGGACTTTTTTTTATGTTTTCACACACTTTATTAAACCTCCAAGTTGCAAGATGTGCCGAGCCATGCCAGCAGTGACACTAGGCACTATAAAGTGAGAAATGAGATAAAGGCACAATCAAAAAGGTGACACTGGGGCTCAGTGGGACTGTTAGTCATCTGCTTGGGTGAGGATGGTGGGGGCGATAGACAGAGGAGGCGTTCCGCCTTTTCCTTCTCCATTACTTTAATTGTTTCCAAACCGTTTGGCCTTGAACATGTGCTAGTCTATACTCAGCACACATGCTTCAACCACACTTAACATTCCTCGGTGTGCAAGCCCTTAATCTTTCCTCCACTTTCCCTGTCACTTGAACGTAAGGAGGGTGATATATGGCATTGAGAGACACTGAAATTTCGGGTAACTTTGAAGGCTTCATCCGCAGGCAGTTTGTCTGCAGGTCTGAGTGATTGCTTTTTGTCTTTTGTGCTTACGTGCCATTTATTCGCAACTTATTGCTTCCAATGTAATATCAGAATATTGCGTTTGGAGTGGCACTTCATATGTATAAAGAGTTGGGATATGTTTCTGTAGGGCCCTGCACATGATATGCAGAAAAAAAAATATATATGATGTTCCAATGAATTAAGAATTTGTTCCCACGACATGTTTTATTAATTCATTCCCTATTCAAATGTACTTAAATTGTAGCCACATTTTACTAATTTGTTTTAGGTCAACCACTTTTTTTCTTGTACAAATTTTTTCCATGATCCTAACTTGTTGGCCATGATTTAACTAAATAAAAATGAGTACGTTGAGGGAATGAAGTTCTGCAATGTGGCCACGATTTACCTAAACCTAAAACAAATTAATACGTTTTGGGAAGTCATTTATAATTTGCTGCCTTGATATCTTATTATTTCTTGTTAGCACATTGAATTTATTTATTCAAACTGGCCCAGCAAAATGGTTAGATTGAGCAGTTTGTGCACCAAATCAATATAAGTTATTGAAATATTAGTATTAGTAATATCAATATTGGATAATGATCAATATTTGGTAATATACAACTAGTTAAAATTAAAGGGACAGTTTACCAAAACATTTAAATTCTGGAAAAAAATAAATACTTGGGAAAAAATAAAAAAAGAACTCCGAATTGAATGTTGGTTTAACCAAATTTATATTAAACTGGAATGCAGAAATGGGGAAATAGTGGAAACAAATGTGGTAATACAGTGATTTTTCTAATGATGTGCGAGTGTACAAATCATGTACTCATATTTTTCCACAGTATTCAAAATGTCAATCTTCATTTGTGTTCCATAGAAGAAAGAAGGTCATACTGGTTTGGAACTTTTAAGAGAATAATGATACATTTATGGATTAGCAATATCTTCTGATAATAAAAATACTATACAAACATGTTTTCGTAGCCCATTGCTGTGCATAGCAATGATATGATAGTCTTTTATATCTGCTTGGGCCTACTAGACATCTTAAGTGAGCACCTCGATTTAGTCTAATACAGGTTGAGCGACCTCATGTCGTTTAAGGAATTCAAACTTGTGTACAGTAGTGTATTCAAACAGAACCTTTGTGACAGGTCTGAAATGATCTATGGCCCTCCTTTGGAGTAAAAGCGTACTTGAGGCCTTTTCCTCCCTTTTCTTTTCTCACCCTGCATGACAGAAAAGGTCTTTTGTCATTTCTAGTCCAGATGTGTGCTTTCTTCTGGATATGCGAGTTCAGTTGTGCTCTCTCTGATTTAATGATGCATTGTGTGTTGCGGATGGTGTACTTCACTCATTGTAAGTAGTTTTTAGGTAAAGAGTGTGGAACAAAAACTCTCAAGTTATCCATACTTTGGTTTAGGAGCAGATGGCAGAATATGAGACACACGGGTTCTTCAGAATAAAGTCAAGAAATCTTGCTACAAATTAGTGCTTGATTGATATGGGTTATTAAAGAGATAGTTCACCCAAAAACCACATGTTGTTCCAAACCTACAAGACTTTCGTTCATCTTTGCATATTTGATGTGCTCTATGCATGTGCGTTGATCAAATCAATATGTGAATAAAAGCCTCAATTAAATCATCACATAAGACTGCTTGATTTATATGGATTACTTTTATGAGTTCTTTATTAACCTTTTGAAGTGTCAAAGTTTTGGGTGAATGGACTTGCAATGGAGGGACAGAAATCTCTCAAGTTTTATTTATATATTCAATATATAAATTATATATATATTAATTTGTGTTTCAATGAAAGTCATACAGATTTGGAATTTGGAACTAATAACAGAATTTTCATCATTGGGTGAACTGTCCCTTTAAATGCCATGCAGTACAAATTCAGTGATGGCAAATGATATCGATACCGATTCCTGAACTTATTTCACAGAATATTTACTCATAGTTCACACAGATATTTAAAATTAGAAAACATTTTGAAAATGGCACAAGAGCTGCATCAGCTGATTCTATCAAATCTGACCATTATAATCTTATTAATTAGCTTGGCTGATATTTTGGCTTATCGGTATTACAAACCATATCAGAAAAACAAACAGAGACCTTCTGACCAACTTCTAGCTGTTGTTGGCATATTCATAAATAATCCTGAGTATAAGAAAGTGAGTTTTGGGTTTCAATGATTGTGAAGGTAATAAAAGTATATTTTACTTTTGCAAAAGTACATCAGAAATGAGTACATTCCAGGATGCGGGTTTTTGTGACAGAAGTGTTTCTTTTGGCCGCCTGTGACAGGCAGCTGGCTTGACTTGTAGATTTACCACCCCATTGTTCTGTCCCTCCATAACAAAAACACAGTGTTTCCTGTTCTGCTCTACCCATGCTTAGTATTCAGGGTGGAATATTATCTGTAAGGTTAGAGGGTAGAGGAAGGGCCAAAGATAATGTGCTGTGGAAGGTTAGAGGTCCTTATCTGAGTCTGTAAGAAAAAGCGCAAACACAGTGTGAGAACATGTGTGTGTGTGGCCGGGATTGTGGGAGACGGTAAAGTGTGTCTGAGGTCATGAGGTGTGAGTGCTTCTTTTGAAATGCATCACACTACACTCCCCACCATGGGATAGGGCTGAGTGTCCTGTGACCCAGTGCGTCATATGGAAATGAAACCAAATGGTATGTGCTTCCTATGTAGTCGCCAGGGACATGAAGAACCTAACGAGTGGACAGTCTTGTTTCTGATTATTGGTCCGAAGCTGGCTATTGAAGCATATGAGGGTAAATCTCGCTAATTGTCAGAAGTTAAACAAATCACATATCACCTAAAAAGTCAAATGGAGAATATCTATCTATCCATCCATCCATCCATCCATCCATTCATCCATCCACAGTGATGTTTTCAGATATTGAGTCAAGATTTGTGTTTTGACACTTCTTGAGGCCACTTTTTTTATTTGAACAATACAAAACAATTTTGTGAACTTTTCATTCATTCATTCATAAAAAAATAATAATAAGAGAGCAGCACAAGCGACTATGGTGAATAATTTCATTCAACCTTGTCAGCCATCTGGAATGTGAAATTGGCTAGAACAACTAGAATCAACAAACAAGTTTAACAAATGCAAGATTTCAAAAGAATATCCATTCTATCCAACATGTTGCTTCTGGTTTGCTGAAGTAAACTCCTGAAGTATCTGAACAAAATCAACTGAACATTCAATGATGAAACGTAATGGACAAGCACTGTTCAGATTCATACAAAACATAACTTAAAGCATCATTTCAATGCTTGGCTATTGTATTTACATTACCAAGTCAACAAAGGATCTTTCTGTATGTTGATCTTTAGTTTTGTTTGTTTGCTGTTTGAATAAATGTTTGAAAAGTTATAAGCAAATGGGGATAAAAGAACCACATGCGTTTTGGACCACACTGGCTTGAACGTCAACAGCATAAGGGCTACAAATGTCTGAACTGATGTGTAATATGCATCCATCAGGCCAGCTTTGGGATGCAAACAGTCATTCTCAGCCTAAATTGCATCAGATGGACTCAAATACATTGAAGAATTGCAAAGCACAGGAATAAAGGCCTCTTCTCGTGCATGAACGTTCAAATTTTCAGCTAAGCTCTGGGAGATTTGAAACACGAAAATAAGCAAAAAACAATAATTAAATAAAAAAATCTTGCATTTTCGTAACAAAATCAGGTGTTCTCAGATCCTTCACATGCAATGTTTATTCAGCATGACTTTGCAGCACTTCACTGCTTGTTCATCTGTAAGATTGTTCTAAGCTTTGAAAGTCCTCCAGTTTTCCATGTTCATTTATAAACAAAAGAGCAAATTCCCATGTGCACCAGCATCTAATACAGAATCATGTCTCAACAAAGAATGAGTTTTTCTGAATTAGACAGCACTTCAGCCATTCTAGCAACCAGTTAATAGGGCTAAACCAACTGGAGCAAGCAACTGAGTGTCTGAGAGGCATCAAAACGCTGATGTCCATCATTTGAAACGGAGCCGCTTTAGTGTCCATGGCTTGTTGTCCATTCTCTGTCAAACTTTGTAGTAAATGTTTGCAGGATTTTGTGGTGGCATTTCTTGGACGATGTAGACAGGGTGCCCGTAGTCTCCACTGACCTTTTCATAGTGCGGGCAGTACATGCTTCCTGAGGTCCGCAGTGGAAAGATGATGTCACTCGGCTCAGAGCCGTTGTTGTTGCTGCCGCCACTGGCAGCACTTCCGCGTTTGGGCAGCGTGTTTAATGGCAGTTGGGCGGAGCACTGCGCTGAGTGTTTCTGATGACGACGATGCAGCAGTGCTACCAGAGCGATGATGATGATGATGAAGATGACAGCACCGGATGCAACACCAGCAAACAGGGCGACTTCAGATCCAGCAGATCCTACAGACTCTCCGCTCTTGCCTCCGGCCTCACCATTCTGCATAGGATCTGGGGAACGAGAAAGAATAGGGAGTTTATGACCAGTTGTTTTATTTACTTTTTGTTGGATTAAAACATGATGGTGAAAGTAAAATATCCAGTTCTTTAAGTCTAAATCATTTAACATCATGAGAACAAGGATATGCAAGTCCAAAAAGTTTACTTTTACTTAAAATATACATTAAATAATATACATAATATATATTATTTATATTATCCCCAAAAATCTGAATATCTGTCATCTATTCTAATACAAAAAAGGTTTCAAACTGGTCAGAGACTCTATATTTAACCAAACTTTAATAAATCCAAATTTGTGGTGTAAAATTGAGTGAAAGTTTGGCATCTAAAATATATCAAGCATATTTAATCGATTAATTACTATAGTATTTAATTTTATAATATATTATATACAGGCCCGGATTAAAACAGTGTAGTGCCCTAGGGTGCCCCCCCCCAATCCAGTGTAGTGCCCCCCCCGATGCATTTTGAATGTGGTTCTACAAAACGAACATTTACTTACGTTTTTACAGGCACTAAAATGTACAATACTGACGTATTTTCAGCATCTAAACGTACAAATATTTACGTATTTTCAGCATTTAAACGTACAAAAGTTACATTTTGACGACACCTAAAAATTAATCTTTATGAATATTGAAATCGTGGCATTAATTTTATTATTGTTGTTATTTTTAGTTGTCATGTCAATGACCTTATGTTTTCAATTGCATTATTAAATTGTTTACTCGCTTAATATGAAATGATAACATTTCGTTCTGTTCTGTGATTTCTGCTGCTAGCTCGTTTCCAAGAATAGGCCTGCATAATGTTAAACAAGACTTCACTTTAAGCCCTTAAAATAAATACAATTTCTGCAATCGTTTAACCTTTACTTGTCATGTAATGTTTACTTTGTTTGCCATGGGCCACAAAAGGCGTTTTCTCCGACATGCTGTGACTGACAATAGAACTATAAAATACACCAAAAACCCGAATATGAGACGACCCTGATTATAAGACGACCCCCCTTTTTCCAGATGTACCTTTTGGAAAAAG